ACTTAAAATTAACTCTATTAAAACAAATTCTAAATATCTACTACCTACTTAGTATCAAGTTATGAATCGACTTGACGCGCGAACTTCCTACTACTAATTTTACAAAATAAAGTATTTTAACTCTGATAATGTTGGTATAGGTATATATGGGCCAAAGATTTTTTTTAAATCAGACCAGTAGTCTTTGAGTTTATCCTTTACAATAAAAATTAAAGCTTTCCTTTATATAATATAGGTATTTACTTTTTCGCAGTTAAATATTTATATCTGTTAGTCATCAATTACTTGAAATACATAATTCATTTTATTGCTCTTATATACGTAGTTTTTTTCCTACTCATTCTAGAAATAATTCTCTGTCGTTTACCGTTAGTTTCAACGATGTGCACGGTTACGCAAAAATAGCCGAACTCCCATAATAAATCGCCCATTCTCTTTTAAGACTTATATGGTTTTCTCATAGATGCCATTGCCAGATCTAGAACAAATTTAATTGAGACCACACGGCAAGCATTAGCTTTCAAATAAAAAAAACATCAAAATCGGTCCACCAAGTAAAAAGGTATGAGGTACTTAACAAACAGAAAAAAGAATACAATCGAATTGAGAACTTCCTCCTTTTTTTTTGTTTTTATCAGAGAAATAGCTTTCCACCACATATTATATAAACATTCCTCTTGTATCCATTATGTAGATAAAAACTATAAAACTTTGTTTCGTACTGTGTATTATAGATATTTTAATATTCTATAATGTTTTTGATTTATTATGATTGTTCTAGTTTAATAAATCAAATACATAATGACATAAAAAAAGAAGAATTGAGAAAAACAAAGTTATTTCTAAAAATTGAAATAATCCAAAATGTTTCATTAAATATATGAAGCCTTTGTAAAAGTTGCTTAACTTCCAAAGTGAGGTTGTAACTAATACCATATTTGGTGTGTAATAACAGGAACAATTCTGGATGGTAATATTAATGTTTCTACAGTAGGTGGTAAATTGTCTGTTAATATTGGTAAACACAGGGATGGCCCTCCACGCTGGCCCAATGCGGATTTGCTATACTTGATTAAATATGCTATACTTTATTAAAGTTATGGATGCTATACTTCATTAAAGTTATACTTTATTAAATTAAAAGGAATTCGAATTTCTTTATTGTTTCCATTTTCTTGTTTCATTGGTGAATATATAGTAAAATATATAAAGGTGTGCTCAAATTAAAGATATTTATTAGAGAATTTCATTCAGTGATTGTAGACTTTGTTTCCTAATCTAAGTAAGGGCAACTGAAGTCACAGTTAAAAACTTTCATCATACATTTTAATAGATATGTTACACTGTGCCAATTCTTTATAATTTAGAGATCTGAAAAAAATGAGACGTGTTTGTGCCGTCGGAAATGTATGGGTATGTGTGTGTATATATCCGGATGTGTGAATGCGTAGATGGATGGCTCGATACGACAACGATGCCATCGCTTCCAATGTCGTACGACAATACATGATTCTTGACGAATGGAAAAAGAAATTAAAAAATATATTTCTATATATCAGTCTATTATTAAAAATGATTATCGTTTATTATTCTCACTAAACATTTGAAAACAGTTGGATCAATTTGTCTATTATTGGTTTGAAATAATTATTGAAGTACATACATATGAAGAAATTACAATGAAGCAACAATTTTATTATGTGTTAGTACTTACTGTAAATGAATTGCGGTAGAAGTTTGACTGCTTATGATACAGCCATTTCTTGTTATTCGTAGTCCTTTTACCTGCAGCTTCATTTATTCAGGTCTTATTATACTTCTCGGTCTTATTGTTTATTGAACTATGGCTTTTATTCCCTCGCTCGATTTGGTTTTATCCGTAAGATAAATAGCTATTAGGGCATATATTATTAGGCTGAATATAATTATTAGAACCCTTTTTAACCATATCGCCAAAAATACTTCCTCTTACTGGTTTCGAGCTTTATTCGACGATATCCTTAATTTCTTGAAGCCGTTCCGATATACTTGTAAATCCATGTGGGCCTGGATGGTGTTCTGCTTAAGAAATTGATATTGCGCGGCTAATTGTTTATTAATTTATTAACATTTATAGATACGTCCAATCACAATGATTGCGCAGTTGGCAAAATCATACATATGTCACAATAAAAAGTTTTTAATTATAACAGTGTTAAATTATATTTCGTGATACCTGTACATTTCTTAGTATAAATAAATTCAAATATTTCCATGTCTAATGGAGCCGTGCACTTTATGAAAAGTGCGTAACTCCGTGCTTTGAGTCGTATAACTAGGGACCAGAGGGGGACGGCATTATGCGAACGCGTACCAGAGGGGGAACCGCTCATTATTTACTACGTAATACGCACATAATTACCGTGGTCACTACACGGGAATGACGCGGGAAATTTAAAAATAAAGATTGCAATGCTTTCTGTATTTTTCTTTTTAATGGCATCTACCTTTGATCGAAGAAATCTACCTTACTGATATTTACTCTTTGGTGTTCTATAGAAAAAGGTTGTATTTCACATACATATATACATATGCGTTAAAATTGTATCTGTGATTGTTTTACGACAAATAATAAAAACCTTTTGCACTTAACTTAGGTAATATTTTTCACAAAGTACCAACAGGTCATCGAGACAAAACTTATAAAAATTCAAACAGTGAGAATGTCCTTTGGCAATTTTCATGAATAAAATTCAATTATTATTTTATTTGAATAAGCTATTGAACATTCTGTTAATTATATTAATATTTACTGAGCCTCGCCATAGAACCAAAAGAGACAGAAGTCTTACTGGCATTCTACGACTGGTAACGTAATAATTTATTTATTTAATACTTTTTGCACATTTAAACTACAATGGTGGATTTATTGCCTAAGCCTCAGGCCCTAAGGCATTCAATATTGTTTATTACGTCCCTTTAAAAAAGTACGTGATGCTTTGACAATTAGTTCATATTTTTGTTATTCCAAATCTTTTTTGTTTTTAAAAGACAAGGCTGCTTTTTAGGATACGAGTCCTGTGTTGCAAGGGACAAAGTACACCCAAACTAAGAACAACTATTTGTAAATCACACGAAAAATTGTATTAATTGTTCAATTTCATGGCGCCGACTAAACCACTCGACCAACCGTGCAGTCAAAATCTAACCTGTATAATGCAAAATCTAACCTGTATAATGCAAAATCTAACCTGTATAATGCAAAATAATGATGACAGTTCTTGCCGATTTTTTTCAAATTAATGTATATAGGGAATGCAATCTCGCGAGATTGGAACTCGGACGAGATCTCGTGAGTTTATGAATATCAATACCGCGAAATCTCGCCAATTCAGAGGTCTCGCGAGATTGGCAATTTTATGTGTTTACTGGTTACTGTAATATTTATTCAAATGACATTATTTGAATAAATTAGGAAAATAACTTGGGTATTAAGAAATAAATATATTTTTATGGGTTTTTCAATAAAGTTTTATGTATTTAACATTGTTTGGTGCAATTATATTTTTTTATCTAAAACCTTTAAAAGAGCAATTACTGTATTATAATCTCGGAAACGGCTCCAACAATTTTCATGACATTAAGTATGCAGTTGCTTTCAGAGACGATTCATCGATTTAGTTAAGTTAATTTTTATTTTATAAAAGTGCCGAGTAAATCTTTGCTATTCAGGTACTAATCTTTTAAAAAACAAACTTTAACGTATCTAATCAAATACGAAATGAATTAAACTCTGCAAATATCAAACAAAAGTTTAATTATAATACACAGATTTTTATAACAAAAATACAATAATTAAAATAAAACTCATTAACTAAGTGGAATTGACGTCAATTCCACTTGGTTAATGAGTTTTTATTATTATCAATAAAAGAAAACAAAACGTACCCAGAGATTTATTAGAAATTAGAGAATAAATTAACATAATATACCAATCAATTTAAAGGCTTATTCAGTTCACTTCACATGCCATTATTACGAATAATTTTAAAACTACGAGAAAAGTCGTTGCTTCTTAAGAAGAAGAAGCACAACATGTCCAAAGAATCTTTGCTATTCGTCTTATTATTTTGCTGACCAGATAACCAGCCACTCAGAAGAACCTTTCGAAAACACAAGTACTGTAAAAGTGTAAAACTTCGCCTTTTAACTCCCGGACTCGCCCGCGGCACACACCTACGCTACGCCTTAGGAGTACTATTATTCTATGGCTACGCCACTGTAAGTAGCTAAACACTTTTGTTATAAAATTCTAAATCAACGAATGAACACCCCGACCCCAGACAATATAGAAAAGTTCATTTCCTACATTGGTCGTTGATCCCGATGGGAATTGAACCCTGGATATCAGAGATGGTAATACCCCAGTAAATGAAATCTGTATAGTTTATTTTTTAGTAATAATTCTAGGTAAGTATTTCAAATCAATAATGGTAATACCTTACTTTGTCTAGTAACCCATCAAAACCGAAAATGTAAAATGAGAGCTAAGTTCAATATTGCACAATGATTTATACCTTGGTTAATGACATCAAGGACAAAAGAACAGATGTAAAATCTAACAATACAATAATTTATAATAACTTAAATTATCCTTTCTTCTTATAACTTGGGACGATATATTAAAGTCCAAGATTTGACTAGGCTAGTTGAATAGAATGAATTTACGAAGGTATCGATGAAGATGCGTGTATTTTAAAAGCGTCTAAGAATATAAAAACAAATTTTATATTCATTCTCGGTAGGCACAGATGCCTATAATATAAAGACATAAAGAAGCATTGAACCCACCATTTTAGTATAAACAAGAAATTGGTATTTACCGTAGACTTAGCTTTATACGTTAGATCACTTTCCTTTAAATTAAAAAAAACAAAATGGTTGGCTGTATATTTTATATTTCTTTGCTGTTACTGTAAAAAAAAGAACAACTGTCTAATTGACATTGACATTTGTTATAAAAAACACGTCTACGTTTACGACAAATGTCGTGCATGTTTTGCATTAAAAACAGTTCATTAAAAATCTTTTGGTGAAATTAAAATGGTTCAGACTAATACCATGGAAGGCTCTCTCTTTGTAAGTATTAATTTCCGGAAAAGAGTAACGGAATTGTGAAAAACATGTACCTACATTCATTGTTGATGAACTTAACTATAATCATAGCGGTTTTTATTATACCGTATATTTTACGCGCATTCTCATCAAGATTGAGATCTGTTTAGAATAATGGATAAAAACCCCAGAAGCCTTAAACCACCATAACTGAGAGTAAACCTCGATCTTTACTACTATTTCAGGAACCAACTCTGTACATAATAAAAGGAATGTGTATTCTGGACAACGATGGGAACAGAATTCTGGCAAAATATTACGATAAAAATGTGTTACCAACAGCTAAAGAACAGAAAGCATTTGAAAAAAATCTTTTCAATAAGACACACAGGTAATTCCATTGTTTTGGATTGTTTTTTAAATTAACATATATCCCATTTATCTTAAGTATTAGCTAAAGCTAAGAGAATTTTTAACATTTTGTTATTATCAAAACATGTATAGTGTATTAATTACTGCAAAATTTGTATCAAGCAGTTTAAAAAACTATTATTTCTGACTTGTTGCCAACCCAATAATTTATATCATCATCATCATCAGCCCTTTTATGTCCCCACTGCAGGAGCTCAGGCCTTCTTTATGGATGGTTAAGGAGGATGGGCCATGACCCTCCACACTGGCCCAATGCGGATTGGAGAGTATTAATGACTGCAAATACAGTCAAGACCAATGGCTTTATGTGCCTTCCGAAGCACAGAGTAGCTCGAGATAATAATTTTTTGGTCACCCATCGTGTGACCGACCCTTGCGAAAGTTTGCTTAACGACACGCGGGCCGCGGCGCTTATCCACTACGCCACCGAGCTACTCTCCTAATCATTTATATATCCCTCCACTAATCATTTATATATTATCATCATTATGGGATGGGTCATAATCCTCCGCAATGGCCTAATGTGGAGTGGAAAGTATTAACAACTGCAAATGCAGCACCAGTCAACATGCCTTCTGAAGTTTGGAGTAGCTTGATCATAATCAATTTTATCAACCATCCCATGACAAACCCTTGCAAAAGTTACTTAACAACAACAATTGCAGGTCATGGCGCTTATCCACTCAATATAAACAATAATTTATACATGATTACTTAAAACCAACATAAGTATTTTCAATAAATTTTGCCTAGTAATACATCATTTATAATTTTGTCTTCAAAACTTTTCTTATTCAAAACAATTAAGATAAGTATTTTTTGTTTTTCAGAGCCAACGCAGAAATAATAATGCTGGAAGGTCTTACCTGTGTTTATAAGAGCAATGTTGACTTATTCTTCTATGTAATGGGCAGTTCACATGAAAATGAGGTATGATAGAAATCAATATTCCTAAATATAAATATGCAAGCTGTTTTATTGTGATGTATGATGATGAGGTGAAACAATTTTTGAAATAGTTTCAGTGCCTGTTCAGTGCAAACAACCTATTTTTCCTCTTTGTGATATTAGCTTAATAGTTAATTTATGAATGATGTGGATGAAACAGGTTTTTAACTACCAATTAGAATGTAAATATTTATTATCTATAATAATTATATTGCATGGTCATAAACATATTTCGAGTAAAAATAATTTGTCTACTTACTGCCTAAGAGAACCCCTACTGAACTTATATTAATTTTTTTATTTCAGTTGATATTACAATCAGTTTTGAATGCCCTGTACGAGTCGGTGAGCATTTTGTTACGGAGAAATGTTGAGAAAAGGGTGCTATTAGATAACTTGGATGCAGTCATGTTAGCCTTTGACGAGATATGCGATGGAGGGTAGGTTTATATATTTTTTAATTAGTAATTTAAACATAATATTTTATTAATTAATAAGTAAACATATAAGTCTACTCCATAAATTGTCTCCCCAAAACAAAAGTGACATAATATTCTGAATAAAAGTTTTGTTAAAGTATTATTCCCTAAGATATTTATGATTCAATAATCTGTCACAAACTAAATATAAAGTAATAGTCGCCAGCTGCCACCAATTAATGTACACTCTGAATGAAAAGTTGAAGATAAAAATGTATCAGTTACCCGTCGTAAGACTGGCCCTTGCATAACTTGCGTATGTATACTTGTGCAGTGTTATTCTGGACTCCGACCCCGGGTCAGTGGTGTCGCGCGCCGCCCTGCGTGCTGACGATGTGCCGCTCGCCGAACAAACCGTTGCACAGGTAATGGAACAAATCAACCGTGTATTCTGGTAGCAGTCAGTTATTGTTTTTCTACCCTTCCAGCATTGTGCGGAATCTATTACCTGTAAACTCTTTACATACAGGTAGTTGAAAACAATTTAAGTAAAATCCTTATAAAGTATATTATGTAATGGTGGGATCGAAGCGATTTTCACATAAACGCGAATGGGATTATGTCAAAACTGGGACCACGGTCCCATTTGTTGATTGAAAAATTTTAATTATTTTCTGGCAATTGGAATGTGGGTTTCTTAAGTTTTTTTTTTTTATTAAAAATGATATAAAAATAGTCCCAACCGACCCAAATGTGTGTTCACTACTAGGAATATGGTTTTCACCTTTATTATATAAAAATATACACATTTTTTGTCAAATACCTATACAATTTAATTATTAAAGTTTTCCTCCCAGTTTAAGAATACCATATTCAACTGGGACCATGGTCGTAGTGACCCCATTCGCCTGACATGACATAAAATGAGTATTAAAGATATAAGATAAAATTATATTGCAATATTTACTTAATTATTAATATTTCATATGAGTATTAGGCCTATAATGTGGCTTGGATATTTAAATTGTGTTGCCATATATTTCTTTAGTGATTTATTTGTCTAATAATCGTGCAGTATTGTCTGTCTTTTGTTTGTATAACACAAGTTTTTTGTTTGTGTATAAATAAACACCTTTCTTCCAACTAACTTTATCATTTCTCACTTTTTGTGTGTGCGTTTGTATCTCACCAAAAAACCGTCATAAAAGACTATATTTTTAACCTACTTCAAAATCGTAAAAGAGGAGGTTCTGTGTTTGACGGCGATGTACGATTATGATTCTATTACAAATGTATAGTTTCGCATTTTTCTTTGAAGTTATAGTATAAAACAACGTTACTTAGCAAACTTCGTAGTTCTAGATCAATGGAAAATACCTTATCAATTTCGTTTTTGTGGGTGACGAAATGTGCGTTTTACGCAGTATAATCGGCTGTATCTTTTAAAACATTAATTTAGAAGGTAATTGTTTCACAGCTTCAAGGTACTGTAGATCTGAGTGTATGGTTTAATTTCTACTGGAAATCTCAACGCGTTCCCGAAATAAGACGTCTTGCTTGACAGACAGACAGACAGACAAGAAAGTGATAACAATATAAGGGTTCCGTTTTATTTTATAGAGTGCAGAACCCTAAAAAAAGCAATCGCGAGAAGAATAAATTATGAATTTTATAAGTAACTGCAATTTGTTATATCAAGAGAATTGTATTAATTCAATTTTAAATTAACTTTTTAATTTAGATTTTTTTGGTTGCTCTCGGTTAATTTAAAGTTTATATTTAATAAAGCTTTTTTATTAGTCTCCTTAAATTTTTTCCCTATTATAGATATCTATATCTGTCTGTACTATTAATTTTCTAAGCGTTTGTCGATTGTATTTTTCTGCTGTACTGTTTACATTGAGCACACTTATCTTAATATATATGTCGAAGCCATTTAAATTAATTAACGAGTATATATAATCGCTAGACATTATCCATAATGACTAAACTGAATTGATAATGTGATGTATTAATCACTCCATATAGAGAGAAGTAGAAGATATATGTAAAAACTACATTTAATAAATTCAGATTTTTATCAATTTTTCTAAACGAGTAGTTATTTTACTTAATAGGTAAATTGTATGCTTAATATGTCTGTTTATTCCTTCAGCTGTATCTACCCACTTTTGTTTGTCACTGAACTCCCTAAATAATAGGACCAGTGCCAATTGAACCTTCTGTGTTTAGAATCTGTTTATATTTTTAATTGGATCTGGTAAATGGTGCTGTTCAATAAAGAACAATGTATGTCAGTAGTAAAATTTTGTATGAACATAAATAACATCTACTTACAGTAAATAACAACATGAAGACTTAATAATATCTGCCAATTTAGTAAGTGTAACTAAGTTATGATAAAACATATAATTTCATTCTGATGCCTGTACATAGTCGCTATACTAAAATAAAATACTGATAATACCTATGAAACTATGATTATTCTCATTTTATTATTATTATTTCAGATACTTTACAACGTTATGAATAGCTAGTGGTGTTGCAACACTGAGGACTGATATAGCTCACCATAAAATATTAGACTGTATAATTCTTATTCATTTATTGTAGATAGAATGTTGATTAAATTTATTTATTACACGCTTTATTTTTTTATTTATTTGAGTTGCCAGTATTAAGTTAAACATAATTGGTCGTTCCTCTTATATAAATATTAATATTGCAAAATATTAAAGAAGCAATAACAAACGAGCAATTAATTTAATCCTCATTCAATAACGCCTACGTTCATTTTAGGAGCAAAGTTCTATATAAGGGATTCGTACTTCGAAACTACCTACTTAAATTTGTAGTTTTTTTTAATTGCTCAATTGACCTGTGTTCTAAGTGCAGTCAACAGTACGTCTGACTATATAAAACTGTCGACTTTCTCCACATTCTCCAATACCTTATTTTATTGATAGTTCAAAACAAATTCACTTGCGATTTTTTTTTTAAATTAATAATAATCTGACGTGCAGTCGTGTGTACAATTTTCATCCGAACTTTGTGGTTCTTCTTCCCGCACAAGAACTATATCTCTAAGAAGAAATTTTAATGATTTTGTATCTTTGCTTTTGTCAATGAGGCTTCCCAGAAGACGTTTTACAGTTAATTAGTTCCAAAACACAGCGTAATTTTAGAGCCAATTCTAGTATAGTTACTCCTCTCTAAAACTAAAGTCTATTGCAACATCTTATTAAAGAAATATAATAATAATCCTGTATACTGTAAGGAGTTTATTTATTTGCAATCGTGTTTGACAGGATTAAAATTTAAGCTATAAATAAATACGAAATACTAGAAAAACGAGTGTTACTCCTATCTAACTCCTCAACTAGGTATTAACACTTAAATTAATCTCATTTCTATTTTTTCAGGTACTACAATCGGCGAAAGAGCAGTTGAAATGGTCTCTTCTGAAATGATTTTTCAATATATTACAAAATGCTTATTTAAGTCTTATATTATAATATATATAAAGTACGTTTAAGTGTTGTTTTTCTCATTTCAGTTCATTCAGGAAATATGTACTATTTACATATATCCTAATATATAAAAGAACTACAGTCCATTAAATAATTTACGATATTTTCTAATGGTATAAATCCATGAACTAATTAAACCGTAGCCGTTCTAAATAATACTGTCACTGGCTGTTATTTTGAGCTTATTGGTTTCTACTTACTTAGAAATAATAACGATATTAGATTGTATAAGACGGGTATTAACGCGATCAAATTTCCGATAGTTAGGTTTTTCACCTACCTATATTTCCCGACGTTTCGACCAGTTTACAGAATAGGGATTCCGTTAGTGTTGTGTGACGGTACCTCGAGAAAAAACTGGACGGTAGAAGTGGATTCCACTTCAGAAGATGAGCCGTAGCATCGCAGAAACAGTCAGCCCGTGACCACGGCCGGTGCAACCTGGTCGAAACATCGGGAAATATAAGTAGATGAAAACCTAACTATCGGAAATTTGATCGCGTTAATACCCGTCTTATACAATCTAATATAATGCAACGCGAAAATTTTAAAGTTTATATAATAACGATAAATAAATAAATATTTAACATCACATACATTGCTCAGATTCCAAGATGAGACAACGAAGGTACCACAACACCCAGACCCGAATCAATATAGAAAAGTTCATTTTCTACATTGACCCGACCGGGAATCGAACCCGGGACCTCAGAGATGGCGACACCTTGAAACCGGCGTGTGAACCACTCGGCTACGGAGGAGGTTATAACTTGATCAATTCTAGAATCAAAGTCAAATGTGTAACCCTGCCTGCCTGTAAGTTGAGGTTTGGCATGAGTATTTGCTATGGTTTTACGATCAGGGAAGTTTGCTTTTTGTTTCACAGACAATAATATACTAAACATTCGTTTGGAATAGCCAGAGCTTTTAACGCTTTGTGGTTGTAGAGATCTTTTGCATACCTATTTTACTCCACTTCATGGCACCCCCAGTGCTGAATACCCGCAGGATGTCAAGTTTCAATATTTTTACGGAGTAGTGCTAAAATTATTGATATTATAAAAGAATGAGCTCCTAAAATGCTTTAATTTAGAAAATATAGCGTAATTCATTCTTAGTCAAGTCTTCAGTATTTAAATTACCAATTTATCGCCGCTTTATCCTAGAATGACAAACAAGGGTCTAAAGGATGGCCTGGAAAGTTTTCTGGAATTCATTATAAGTACAAAGATCTAGCTGTGGCGCTGCCAAAGCGTCATCCCAGCATAGTATATATCATGGGTGGCCAACCAGTCAAATAAAAATAATAATATAAATACATAGTGTACGAACTATGCTGTTTCATTTAAGATTATAAGGAGTAAAGTAATTGGTAGATCGTACTGGGTGTCGTCAGTGAAAAATCGATCTTGGGTCTAAACAAGTTGGCCACCCCTGGTATATATCAATTAAAATGACTGGGTAAGAAAATAAAACACCGTAATATTCTTTAGATTCTATATACATTATTATCAACTAAACTTATTAAACTACAACATGCATCGTTTAACATATTATTAATAAAAAAGACATAAAAAATATACTCGTTATTAATTAATACTCCGCAACGAGCGCGCAGGCTGCGTCTTAGTTTGGTCCGATATACGCAGCGTAAAAGAAATGGCGGTTTCGATAATTTTACAGATCTCATTCATAAATTTTTATAAATAACAATAGAAATTATATATTGATAATATGCAGTAAACTGCACGCCAGATTATACAAAACTATAAAATTTCCCTATTCAGTGTAAACCTTAATACGTTGAGAGTATAGTTCAAAATCCATTGCAGAATTTAGTTATATTTTGGTAACGTGAAATCGTGTCTTGGCGATCGTTAAGTAGCAATCGCCAAGGTCAATGACCGAGCCATCGCTAGGAAACTAACGAATAACTAATTTAACAGTTGCACTCGGTACGTGCCTAACAAAAAACAATACACCTGTAGAGACTTGCAATGATCTTGAATACGATCGCTATGAGTAAACGACCGAATTCGGTAAGATTGCGATCGCAAACTCGAGACTGCAGTCCCTGGCAATAATTTTAGATCAATCAGCTAATAAAAGATACTAATAATTTCCGAAAATAAATCGCCGCAACCGAAACCAATACTTCAATAAACATTTAGCATTTTTTTAACAACTATTTTCATATTTTTAACATAACATGAAGCTTCGTAATTCACCATTTAAAAATTGCGAAGATCGTAATTTTTCTATTTATCCATGTTAACAAAATTTAACGTCAAGTAATACATTTATATATTGCACTGATGAATAGGCCTTTAGATATAGATTACTAATGTACCCATGCAGAAGGCATAATTTCGAAGGTAAATGTTCACGCGCCTGATCCCCATTAAGTGCGAGTGGAACGGAGATATGTGCGTTGTATTTTACACTTTATGATTATTGAAACAAGATTCGGCAATTTTAATCTTACGTTTGGTCATCGTCGGAGTCGGAGATATGCTCTGCGCAAAATATAATCATTCACCATACGCCATAATAGTTGGAAGTTACTGTACAGTTCTATAATTTTCATAATTAAGTAACAAAAGAATACCAGTACTCTTGAAATAGACTTTAATACGTTTACGTACAGATATCAACATCTAGCAGCACGATATCCCTCTGTGTCGTTCAAAACCACCATTTGCTAGTGAGAAAGATATCCTCGAGACGAAAGGCAATACGTTATCTTTCTCGCTCTGGAAAATGGCAGTCAAAGGTACTCTAACAATAAGGAGCCATCGTTTTTCATATCTTGTCCATACAAATTCCATTATTAGACTATTTTCACTAACACCCCCTCCCTCCCTCCTTAACGTATGACGTCTACTTGACACGTCACGATGCCGCAGATATCGAAAATAGCGCAAACGCTACAAATGTCTAGAAAACGTTTTCTACACTCCTGCGCAGGTACATCGGTGTACATTTATAGTTATTTCCCTATTTTGAATAGGATAACATTTAATAGAAATATACTTATCTTATTCATATTTATGACGAGACAACACTAGTTTAAGTTTACGGGTTTAGTTAAGATAATTACCACATTCGTAGCGAACTTTTTGTACCCAAACTTAAAAAACGAGTATTATACCCATTGTAATTTTATTTAATCACCCAATAATTATCATTCGGTACAAAACGTACAAAAATAGCATGCATTCACAATATAATATATCTTAAAACTATCAATTCAAAATTATAATCGGTTCTATTCTCTCTTGTAGCATGAATACTGTAATATCTCTTTCACATCTAAACAATTGGAAAAGGACCGAAATATATTTTGTATTACAACCTATAAACGGACACAATTTTCAACCTGATTACAAGAGATTAAAGTATCATTGGATTTAAATAAGGAACAAAACGATTAAGGAAAAAATACGACAGGTTAATAGGAAACATTTCTCAAAGTTTAGTAGTTTGTCTCTGTTCCACGCTTATGAACAGAAAGAGAGACACAGCATTCATTTTTAGAGTATACAAAATCTACTTAATATCTATTTTAATCACTAAACAAATATAAATGTATATAATACTACAATTATAATAACATATTAAATAAACACAATATCCTAAAATCTTATTCTAGAGCTGCCTTTATTAAAACAAAATATAAAAATTTGTATTACTTCCAATGGTGAGTCTACTCTATATGAACGTAAATAATAAATAAATATTTGGCTTATATTTTTGTCAAATACAATAAATAATGTAAATGAAGAACTCGCGAGAAAATTAAGCATCATCTACTAACATTTAACTGTCTAATGTACATCAGACCTTTTCTACAAATATAAAAATATTCATGATAATACACTTTTATCAGAAATGATTACTTTCGTGAGTTAAGAGTAGACTCCCGGACATACACAACGAAACTAGTGTCTTCCAACTGTCATATTGACTTATCGATGAACACTAATATAAAAATAAAACCTATACAATAAGACTATTTATTATATTTGAAATAAAAACATTACAATTACATTATAAAATTATATGGGTATTTAAAACAGAAAAATTAAAACGAGACTATTTAATAAATCATAAACATTTATGATTTCGTTAGTAATTTATGAGATGAACGTTAGTATGTGAGTTAATGATATGGCCCCTTTTAACAAACCTGTTCCAAAATTCTTACTGCGATCTCTAAACGTCAGATAAACAATATTAGAGATTGCTCCTCATTAAGAAATCATCAGTAAGACCCTAGGAAGTTCAGTAATGTCTTAAAATTAAACATTTAGTAAAATCCGTGTCATTTATTTTATTAATTATGAGTATTTTCAAATTAACTTCATAATATTATTGGGAACACTAGCTGTTCGAACCATAGTCCTGCCATGTTATCATCTATCCTCCGAAATTAGATTATAACATCTAATTCATTAATGGTTATCAATAACACAATACTTTGCACTACTGTTTGGTCCATTTCAGTAAAAAAAAGCTTTCAAACCAATTTAAAAACGTACGTTAATAAAATTCGACATTATACAAAATATAGTTGAACAATTATTATGGTTAAGGATTTTTAATTTTAATATATTAAGGAACTCCAAAGATTACAAAATATGAAGGAAAGGATAAGATTTCTTCAAATTCTTCACAAGTAAATAATACGAGGATTCATAAATGGTCTTAGGCAATGACTAAACTTATCCACACAAAATCAGCTTGAACCAGTCCGAAATTGTATTGCATACACACACACTTACTTGCCATAAATTGTAACCGATTTAAACTGAATGACTGAGTGAGCTACATTGACGACCGTTTGTGTGCTTTGTGTGTGTCCAAATGCATTCAGGGTCACTAGACGTTAGTATCCTATTTTGAAACGAATGAAGTTCTCTTTTTCAAGGAAAATTTTCATATTCTATCATAACAGTGAGTTTTCCACGCATAATGTAGTCTAGGTTCTATGACAATTTAAATTACCTTTATTTTCAAAATGTTTATCTTTATTTTTCCACATTAAAAAGTGGTTTAAAAATACCGATATACCATTAATAAGCGTGGTCATTACCCGTTTTTAACATATAAATTGGTTTGAAAGATTAAGATTTCTACTTAAAAGTAAGGCGATTTTTAATTGCTCAGTTGTTTGTAGCGCACAGAAGTAACGCGTTCGCTTCCTCGATACGTTCCAATCTATACGTCGAATTATCAGGAAGATGTCTGACTAGTTCGTCAGTTAGACGCACTCTGGCACCGTTAGGACCCGATACTAGCACAGTCTCGTAATCCTAGAAAATAAATATTCGAAATTGAACCTTATAAACAAATTATAAACATATTAGCTTTAGTATGAAATGTGAGCTGTCAAAGAATGCATATTTTTCTTTATAAATAAATTGAATAGACACATTCCTCAATAATACAAAGATTACAAGTTAATTTTAATCAGATGGTTTATCAAAATTGTGTTATCTCGTTAAAACATTGTGTCTTGACTGCCAATAGGAATGATGGATGACAATTTATTGTTTATTTATCCATTTGGTAGATTAATACAAAATATTAAATAAATTGTGGCGATAGCTGAAATGTCGTATGATGTGACACTACTCAACTTTAATGCTTATTATCTAAGCTATTTCTTGTTAAATTTAAGGGAAAAAAATACGTATCTACTATTTTGCTTTTATCTTACTGACACACTAAATAGAATTTCTTTTTTACCCAGGCAACACCCTTATTCACATTGGGTCCATCTGGTTATTATCCGCTGTCCCTTTAGAATCACAATAAACATAGTGAAGACTGATAGACATTATAAAAATATTATATATAATGAGGAACTAAAGTAGAAGAAACAAAGAACACAACTGTAATACTGACCTTAGGTCCGCAGGAATCTAGCAAAATGTGTAGTTTATGAAGCAACTCTCGGGCGTGACACGAGTGTAAATACAACGCGCTGTAGATGTCGCTAGTGGCCGGACATACGTAAATTGTCAGCCGAGGCTCTATGCGTCTATAAGATCATAACACATAAATGATAAGCATATACATTGGATAATTTGCATAATTTCTGTTAACTTAATTAATTGCATTAGGCATATTTTTTCCCTTAGCTGAAATAATTTTTCTATTCCTAATTCCTATATTATCTTGCAGCTAACTTACAATTCAATGCAGTCCCATTTACAATGCATTATATAATTGTTTTGTAGACTTACTTGGAATGCAGAGCGTTGAAAAGACGAATACCATCAGCCAACCCGCAGATCTGAATGATGTCGTCACGAGACAATCTGTAAGAAACAAGACTTAAATAGCGCCGAACAATCAAATTTGTGAAATGTCTTATAAAGTCTTGATATTGTAACTATTAAAAATAATCAAGTTTTAACAGTATCTGTAGAACATAATAATAAATTATCGATAAAAACTATCGATACATTACACTTCACTGTTTATTATATTAGTTCTGCCTTTTATAATGTCACTGACCTTAGTAAATCTGCGCCCGAGAAATTGGCGAATGTGGTTGCATGCTGAGAGAAACGGTGACGAGACAGCCATGCTTGTGTCTCGCTTGCACTCGCCTCTTTAGAGAGACCATAGTTCTGTAAGCATGTTGTCATGAAATTTATTAGTTAATAGTTATCAGCTTTTTAAATCGATAACATATATCTAAATACAAACGTGACAAAAATACTTCAACAACTTATTTATATCACTGAAGAAAACAAAAGATGGCGTGTTTCGCTTCCCTATAATTTTTGTAATGTATGCACCTATTATCCAATTTTATATATACATAGGTATCACTAAAATTTTTGGTAAATATTATTATCTTTATATTTAAAAATCAATTGCGTTTCGTTCGTCTCGATAAAACTCGAGGACGGTTGGGCTGTTTCAGTTAATTTTGGTGTTTTGAAATATCTCTCGTAGTCCGGGGAAGGTTTAAAAGGTGAGAGGAGACTTCATCTATGATTTTTTTTTTATTGTTATAAATGGCACCCCGTTGATGCTCGCGTCTACCTCACCTTGTCAGGATCCTCGGCAGGTTGGGGCAGATCGGGCAGTATAGCTCCTGGCGAGTGACACGGCGGCGAGCTCACCTTCATATCTGTCCCACTGCGAACAACAACCGGTTAAATAGGTAAAATAGAGATCAACTCTATGGGAGCATTTACGCGAAGCTAGTAGTCTAGCAAATCCAGTGAAATTTGAAACCAGTCCTCCTTAGCATAGTCCAACACGGCATGTTCGAGGTGTCCCCATCTCTCAGGTTCCTGGTTTAATACCCCGTAGAGACAATTTAGAAAAAAGCTTTTCTATAGTCATGCGTCTAGGTGCTGGGGTGGCTTCGTTGTCTCATACTCCATAATATGATGGCTTAAGCTACGCATCTTGGAATCTGAGTAATGTATGTAATAACAATTTTTTTTTTATTAAACTAGCTTGCTTTGTCACACTTACAGGCCAATACTGACCTGGCTTACTGGACTGTCTCGGTAACTGGCCTTGTGTAAAAGATCCATAACTAAAAGGGATCAACTGTAGGCGCTCCCTGAAGCAGTCACTATTCAATACCTCTATGAGCCATGGAATAAAGTACTATGGAAAACAAACTGTTTGTACCACGTGTCTAGACGTCTTAAGTACACTGCAGTTAAAACAAACGTCTGTGTATACTAAACATTTAGATCGGCACTTTAAGCTGGTAGTAAACAATTTTTGCAACAAAAATAAAACTTGGCAACGGAAATCACTTTTCGTAAAGCTGGATGGCGTTCGCCAAAATTACATTAATTTAAAAAAATAAAAGATAAATTCTACACGAGAATTTAAGGCTGCAAGCAGACCGATTTACAACTGTCATGGATATGTTGTTGGTGAAAATAAACTGTGTAGTTAGCACAGAGATTGATTCTTTATAGGCAAATAAAGAACCATCTGTTTTTACCCGACTGCAAAGGAAGGGTTATGTTTTTAGGGCGTATCATGTCATCATCATCATACATGTATGTATGTGACATCCTTTAATTACTCATATCTTCGGAACCTCTGAACGGATTTAGATAATTGAGGTATCGTTAGACCTGTCCAAAGCCCAACTGTTCATAGATAGATAATATTATAAAAATCAAATATGGCGGCTGTACGACGCCATTATATATAAATACGAGTATCAAATTAAAGGGCTCGATACAAGAATTCCACAAAGTTATATGATGGTTATCATTACCATAACACTAAACTACTACCATAATAATAATAATAAAATGATAAAGTTTTAAATATGGACTTTGTTTTTCACTTTCTAAACCAACCTGGTAATTTGTCTAACTAAAAAGACAAATAAAATTATAATTAAAATAAAACAAGAACCTGCCTGCGTGAAAACAACTTACTGTAAAAGACTGGAACAAGATAACAAAATGCAACATAATACATAACATGCAGTCGAGGCATGCACAAAGAGAGAATGATTTGAATTATTATTCGATTTAATAATAAGTCAAATCATTCTCTATTTGTGCATGCCTCCGACTGCATGCGCAGGCGGATTTTTTGATAAATTTTTATTATATATTTTTTTACATAATAACATGAAAAACCAATAAGAAATTAGTGATTTATGCATTTTATAAAATTTATACAGAACTACAACAAGTCCCAAACAAACTTTTCAAAGTATTGTGATTTTCTGTGTTCTTAACAGTGTACCTTATTATTACATTTGATCAATTTAATTGAAAATTTTCTTAATGAAAAATGCTTAAAAATCCACTTTGTCCTGGTTAACTCAGAGGTTATCTATGTTTTATAAATCGCTAAAGAAAATAAATAAAAACAAATATAATACTCACTCTTGACAATACAGAGGCTTCATTTGGTTTGGTGGAGTGAGTATAGCTGAAACAAAATAATCAAAATCAACATCATTGTTATCTTCACCAACTTATTAAGGTCATAGCACACTTATGCCAATTCTCAATAATTTATTTCAACATACTAGAAATAGAAAAATGCATCCATATTATACCAGGGATCGGACTCTTATCGAAATGAAATGAAAATATCTTTATTCAAGTAGGCTATTACAAGCACTTTTGAATAGTCCAAATCCAAATCCATGCACCATATCTATCAATGAGTGAGTTTACAGCTTAATGAAAATTTTTTTATTAAGAGGGTATGTGGCCCTATATTGTTTTGACAGCTAACAGGTGTGCAACCCCCTAACCATAAACTCTCTAGTTATACATCATAGCGATGTTATGGCGATATAACGTTTTATTTTACTACTTTGATCATATCTTTTGATGGATAAATGACCAAGTTAGTAACACCGCCATCAAATTACTTTATTAGTTGTTTATCGTTATTAAAATACATGTTAAAAAAGAAGTAGTAATGAAATGCCGTAAAATAGCTAAGATGTCGTATCCTGAGCTAGTCATGGATAGAGAGATAGGCTGTCAAAAACATATGTGTCATTAAAGTGAAATAATTTTGAATAGCTACTGGATGGAAATGGTCACAGTACACTTCAACTAATGGTTCCATAGTGTTGAAGTGTACTGTGACCTTTAATATGACTAATTCAGAAACATCATCTCAATTTTTTTAGTTTCACAGATACTCACGAGGTTGCGGTAAAATTGGTTTATGAACCACAATCGGGCTGCTGTCAGTCTTCGGGGTGACACTGTAACAAACAACATACTATGTATTTGATGGTCCATTTTGTTTAGAGAAACACGACAGACAATAAAAGTATCATTCAATTGAGTAATATAAAAACAATGAAAGTTGTATTGTAGTCATACTAGCCAATTTCGGATAGTTTCAATTCAGAAAATGTAGTGTATAATTTTGCCCTAATAATAATAAAAAAAAAACTATTAGACCTCTTGATGTAACAAAAATATATACTATTAGATAAATTTAAAAGCTGAGCCACATATTCCAATTGTTTTTGTACCTATTAATTTATTGATGCACTTGACAATGTTATAAAATATTAGTATACATATGTTTATTAAATACCGAATGTACCAGATCATCATCATCTTCTGTAAAAGACATCTACAATTCTAAAAATGACCTCTGATAGGATATTATAAGAATTGTAGATATCTCCATAAAACAAATTAAATAGCTTATCCATAAAAAAATTAAATAACTTCTACAGTGCTATTAATAAACAAGATTTAGCGTCAGAGTAAATTTATAATGAAATTGTAATTTTAGTATTAGTCCAAATTCATATTAAACAGAGAATAAGCAAACCTACTATCTTCTAGGAGTAAATATTATTCCTATAGAACCTCATACTAGGTTTAGCTGTGCTAAATCTTTTTAATAATATGATTTTTGGCAAAGTGCAGTCTCAGCGTAAATTTACTCTTATCCTAAACCTTGTTTATTCACCCTAGGGTACCCAAGGGTTACCTTGGAGTTAGTTAAAATTTAGTCAACTTAGTGAGTGTTAGGAAAGGAGATCTTGTTATTTCCTCCTCATATTTTTTTTTTTACAATACATATACTAATAGTATAAAAAGGAAAGATTAGATTCTTTATACTGATTTAAAAAATAATTTCACCTATAGTAAGCTACATCTTAATAACTCTGATATTGTCTATACATATTGAATTCAAGCTCTGTTGACCTAATTGGTTTTTTTACTTGTCCTTGATGAATTCCGAATACTCTATAAAAATAAACCTAAAAAAAAATAACCTTAATATGATAAGTAAGTCTTATCAATGATAAAAACGAAAACGAGACACTGGAAGTGCCAATTCCACTTTCAAGGCTGACAAATCTACAATTCAGATGTCTAAAGAAATATACCTAGATAAAAAGAAAAATCAGGCAAGTTATTGCAAGAGCAGCCTGTCTATTGTTCGAAAAATGTTAGATTCAAACCTTAGACAGTTATTTTCAGCATTCTGTCCAAAAAGTGTATAAAATAGTCTTAGATAATATAATATTTGACAATCGGTCAGTTGCACAAATGCCCATTAAGGTTTAATTACTGCTTTTAGCTATATTAAATGTAAAATTTGTATTGGTAATGTCACTTTAAACTAATAACAATTTTACCTTGTAGTAAACTAAAGCCTCTCTAAATCTCATTACAGACAGAAAACAATAATCATTCTTCAATTAGAATTTTTAGTTTTGCCAGTTGGTATGTGAGCCTGCATTATCACCAATGTATTCTTGAATCTGTATACAGCATTAATTGAAGTATTTAGACCAGTCTTAAATAAACCAACCATTACCAGATTTGTGAGAGAAACTTAATCAGTAAAAATTAGTAAAAACAAGATAATTACGGTAACCGCGAGGGACGTAACGGCCTGACGTTTAGGTTGGCTGCTTTCAGCCTCCTTGCAAGTTCCCTGTAAGTAACGGGGTCGGCGTCGATCTCTATTTCGGCTTTCAACAACGAGAATTTCATACGCCACCCTCTCGCTTCCACACCATGCACCAGGCGAGCTTTCAGCACAACCCCACGTCCCAAATGACGCGCACTCAGTCTCTGCTCGAACACGAGCATATTACTCGTCAGCTATAATCCTGTCTGGTGAGATTGAAGAAGATGAAAGCTCCTGAACCGACACGATACGCCCTGCGGCCGACAACCACCATAGCTGGTCCACGAATCGCCTCAACAACCATTTGTCAGATTTTCCCGAATATACAGATTGCACTTCACGATTCTAGTCCACTTTCAGCTCGATCACTTGTCTAACATTATTTCTGAATGCGTCCGCTGGGAAACGTCTGCACTATTTCACTACCTAATAGATATGGAATAAACCAAACAATATCTATCTAATATGTTACGTTGTTTAGAACACCGATTTTAGGTGGATCAAGAAATCATAGCAAGCAGATAAAACTAGATTATTAGAAATAGAAACAATTGGATACACATCCGATGACAGTGCACGAACGACTAAATAAAATGGCCGCTGATTGGTGGCTAGCGAGGCGCGCAACACGATTTGATTGGACAATAACCGGTTGAAGTCGGTTCGCGGAGGCCGCGGCTGGCTTTGGTCGGTGCATCGAGTCAGCACGTCACGCATCATAATAGTGTTGAGATGCGATTTTTCTATATGCCAAGGAAAAGGTAATTTTAGCTTCCGTCGAAAATTTTACTTTATACATAATTTTGTTATATTTTCGCTTTAAGTTTTTTAAAATTGATATATTTCTGTTGACTTGTGACCAAATTAAACATATTTCATACACATAAAAGCAAATGCGGTTACTCTTAATTACAATAAATTGTACAGCTAGACCCTGGAGATCGTGGTTCATAATTCCAAAGAAGGGTAATTGATTAGATTTTTTTTATCTGTACAATTGATTATGAATTTGAGAATTGAGAATCAAAAAATATCTTAAAACAAAAAAGACGTACGCTTTATGCAAAATTTTGCATTATATTAAGATTTACGCATAAGACAGATCTTATTCATCAATCTTCATCATATTTTCACCAGACTAAATGACATCACTAAATGCAATAGGAATTGAGAACTGGTTTACCAGCTAGAAAAACTTAGTATTTAACACAGCGCGACCTAAGACAACATTGGAACATTTCCTTGCTATGAATATTAAATCTTTATATTTGGTTATAGGTATATATTAACTTACTAAAAAATTACATTTAACTCACACTTTTTAACTATGGAATACATAATAGCAAATGTATAAAAATATATAAGTATCATACCTATAAAATGAAGGATATACCAATCATAGCATGGGAATGAACTAATAATTTACATTGTCATTAATCTTATTTCAACCATTCAACTATTCAAGTCGACGTGACATAGATCTTTTATATTGACAAATGGGACGATTGAATAGAATACTCAACATCTATTCATGTTGTACCAGGCTCAAAATCGTAGATTATTTATACTAATACGCAGAAAATTAAACCCATTAAATAAAAACATAAAAAAATGTCTTTACTGCTGACGCGAAAATAAAATTACGCTTCTGACGTTAATAACATTTTCACGAATATACCTTAGACGTATAAAATTGCGTCATTAACCTTGTTAAATTCATCAGCTAGCACACTAATTACAGACACGGTAACAGTTATTATAAACCTAGTAATTATGATGCAGCACGCATTGGATGTCGAACTCGGGAAACATTTTGTCTACATCTCTCTCTAGTCTAGTAAGTCTAGTAAGATATTGAAGTAGCGGCTCAACCGTAGCAAAATAACATTGTACATACAATGTCATTTCTCAAGATCTTAGATAGCTGTAACATAGTGAGGTCGAGTAAAAAATACGTCTCTTATATTTTTCTAATATCTGCTTGACAAACTAATATAGAATCCTTTTATTACCCACGCAATAACACTTTAGTGTCTATCTATCTGTTCGCAATAGTGAGGACGAGTAATTTTTGTTTGTCTGTCAGGTAGATTATTGCAGAATATTAAATACATTTTTTTGCGTAATCAATACATTAAGGCGATACATTGAGTTGAAATGTCGCATGACGTCACGCTCTGAACATTTTCCACAAAACTGCGATGTAGCGAGCCCCCCAAACTTTAATGCCTGTTATCTAAGCCATTTCTTGTTTGAATTGGAACAAAATAAAACGTGTTTAATATTTTTCTATTACCTATTTAATCAAGTTTGTATTTGTAATGCTATATTGATATTACTCTTAAAGAAAATTGCTTACGAAATTCACATGGGACTTATGAATATTTTCAGTAGTTTTATTTAGGGTAAATAGTCAAGATTACATTAATTTGAACTATAATACAATCAAAGGTCAAATAGCATTTATAGAATAACATATCGTGAAACTAATTCACAAGACACGCCCTCACTTTATGAAAATGTTAGATCAAAACAAAAGAGTCACGCAAGCGGTCAACTGAGATCGCAATTTCATAACTCGGTTAAATTACTATGATTATACAATACCGAGTGCCATTTCAATCACCCAAGCAAATAAAACAATGAAAACAAATAGAGTAATCATTGAACAATAATTATATACCACATCACTATTCCATACTAATTCGTTAGACGTCTATCAAAGGAAAATAAGAAAGAACAATGGTCAAAATGGACTACGAAAAAAAGTTCTTGTTACCAAGATGGAACTATCACCAAAATATAGTATAAGTTGAATGTAATTATTATATACCAACAATTTATTTTTAAAAGCTGGGAAAAGAAAGATAATCCTCTTTAAAATACGTCTTTACTTTTTAGAACGCAGTTTCAATTATGTTATTTTTGAACGCATCTGTAATTAATAATAATGTCATTCCTAGAGTCCATCTCTTTTCAAAGAACAAGATCGATTTTATTTCTGACTAATCGAATGTGATACAAAGCTTATATTATTTATTAACGGTATAAATCCATGAAAATTATAGAACAGAGGAAAATAGTTTATTTATAATGAATTTAAAAACTAATTATTATTCACAAAAATCGATATTACAGTAATCAATAGATTGCGATCTCCCTTTTTTAGACAAGTATGTGAGACTTTTTAGACGTGTTTCTGCGCAGACCGTTTTGTAACTTTGGCGGCGATTTTGTATTAGATTCTGTATTATGGAGAGCATACTAGGTTCCATGAGCAGTATAAAATTGAGGGCTGTAGAGAAATACCGGATTCTCTGGATTTATTAGAATTAGACTTTGATATGGTGTGACAGGTATACTATACCTGTCACACCATATCAAATTTGAGTTGAAGTTATTTACCGTACACTGCAAAAATAGTTATTTGAATATTGATAAAATAACGTTTTTATTTATCAAAGAATGAAAAACTTTTTAAATATCAACTTTACGTTTTCCTTAAACTCGATGATATTAGAATTAAAATGTTACGATTTTGATTCAAATATAAAAATCAATGCGATCATAAGTTTGAGCTGAAAACGAAAAACCATAATGATAATAATCCTTAATTTAAAAAGCAAATGTTTGTTTGTTTACATTGCACTACTGAAAACCGTGTTAGTTTCAGATGAAATTACAAAACTTCTAGGCTCGACTATCAAAAAGTTATTCGACTGTCAAAAAGTTTGACATTTGATTATTTTTCCTCATCAATAAGCACAAAACAATGCATACAGTTTTTTTTCCGATAATCTAATAGTTTTGGAGTTATTTGCGTAGAAAAATGTAAATGAAAGCACGTATTTTAGCTAATTTTCATTAATAACACAGACATTTTCACATATTAGAAGTTTTATGAAAAAGAAATCCATATTATTAAAATTAAAATTTATACGACTTATGAATGACAGGCACGAGGCATTTTTTTTTCTGTCGTGAATTTATACAATAATATCAACATCAAATAGCCAATAAACAAAATATTTTTCAGAAAAAAATGTTAATATCTTTTTAAAGTACTACACCTTTACCTTTAAAATGGACTATGTTTGGTTATTTACATAAAATAAATAATAAAATTACTCTCTCTGAACATGAGGGTCTAAAAATATTAAAATTCACATGGCTAAATAGCTCATGAAATTCCCTACAAAATCATATTTGGATGAATGATAATATACTCGTAGGTTGTCAGGAAGCGGAGTTATCGCTAAATAACGAAATTCATTTTTTTAGAGATAACGTTCGAAAAATTATGAAGCACCCAAATTTTTAAAGTTATCAATTATTTTTATGAATATAGAGCGCAATTTGCTACGTCAGGTTTGAAGTGGAGGGTAAGACGAGCCTAATTTCAGACAAATTGATACAGTTTTTACAGAAATCGGAGGTAAGACACGATTTTACATTTAATGACTGAACTATTTACAAATATTAAATAACATAAAAAAAATACTTTTTTACATGCTCTTGTATGGTGACAAAGGTAAAGTTCCCAAAACCTAATTAAAAAAATTATAAGAGCGTCTCAGCTACATGCTGAAAAAGAAATATGCGTTTCAATTCTTTTATATCATGCATCGTCCATTCAGGTCATTAGATGACTTGGGTTACACCACGAGACGCATCTAAATGGCTGTCAATCAACCGCCCGCATACCGCACATCCTTTCCTAAGTAAGTGGCCGGTCAATTTGTAACAATTGCTGGGCTAAATTTAGAACGGCCGCACCGGCAAGCACAACAACAACGCACTAAACCAAACGCCAAACTGGTTTATTCCAGTTTTCCCGCAACGGAACTGGCGGTGATTACCTACATACAGTATTGTTTTTTTTACATTCAGATACCCTAATGCAGGTTAGAGCAGAGTTACCAACCGTTCTGTTTTCCCAGAACATGACATTGTTTTATAGTGTCCAAGCTAGGCTAGTCTTTAAAAGCTTTTTAAACAAACATCCTGTGATTTCAAAACGCTTTGATTAGATCATAAATGAATGAAAGACTCTTTAATTTACCAATAACGCAATTTCTTCCAGGCAACCTTAACGTGACATATAGGATGAAAAATTGAGTAGTCTATGGTTCTTGAAGAAGTCTCTATAATTGAAATAACACTTAAGGTTACAAGGCGGTATTTACAATGCGCGGATTTACAATTGTTCTTTAGATTTTTTTTAACTAAATTTTCAACTTAAGTCCTAGTTTTTGGAATTTAGGGCGGGCAAACCGCGAATAGAAGCGATTTAATTTTTCGTCGTATCAAAACACAAAAACACAACTAAACAAAATTCACAAGAATATAGTTTTTTTTTTTTTATGAGTGTGCATCATCACGTACGCTCGCACGTCAGGTTATCACAATAGGTCATATTCCCTGAATTGATTTTGAACACTACCCACAATGGCTTAAAATCAAATTGAGTTTGTCAATTTTAAACTGACAGGCTGTTGACTGTGCAGAACTATTACAAAGGTAAAAAAAAATGGAATAAGCAAACTTCATCCTACATCGTTACGTCTATTAAGTATT